ACGATAAGTAAATATAGACAATGATTTAACAGTTCATTAGAATTCATTAACTAATCCGCCTAAATAAAAAAATAACATGCAATATTAGAAATAAAGTATTGTTTTATAGACGATTTACATACCATGTGCAAATAAAATGTTTCACTGAATGTTCAGCGTTCATAATATTAACCGGGTGACGTCCACGCAATTAATAGAATCGACCGGAGGGGAAAAATGAAACGGTTATGTATATTTTTTTTATTATATAAATCCCGTTACCGCGATTAGCCGCGGGGCATTTATAGCTTAGTTACTCGGAGGCAATAAGAAAAATCATTAAACACACAGACTAATTACTGTTATTACGAAACGTTATCGGCAACACAGAAGCCAATCGAAATGACGGAGGTATTTCATTCCATTACGGCGCGCCCGAGGCACTGCGCGGCCAAAGACAATCCTTAACTCGACGTCCGGTGGCTCGGGGCAGTTTTTATTTGAGAATATTTTCCTAACTAATTAAAAGCGTCGAAATAAGAAGATAAAAACGGGCCTCGGCTATCGATGGCATCGACCCCCTTTGTGTTGCGCCCACCGGCGAGACGGGCGTTTGGCCGCGCGCAGTAATTAACTAAGACCGAGAGGCGACTCGGCCCGCCGACGCGCCGGACAACAAAAGATGCAAAAGATGCGCACTCTCGAAAAAACTGCATGTCGCGGTCCGCAGGGTCGCTCGCGGACGCGGGCGCTCTTTGCGAGAATTACGACTTACGGGCCTCTTCTCGCCCCAGAGCCGGATTAGCCCGTGCCGACGTACGGCGGCCCAGTGCAGATTTGCAACGGATAAGCGCTATACGAAACCAAATTTATGCACACCACTCGTAATAAGACCGCAGAGTGCAGGCCACGTTATTCAACTCGTTGTTTACCGATGCCGAATGACAACTACAGTTGTAAAGGCAACACAGGTCGGGTGATTAAAACGTTAGAACAGGTTTGACGGGAAACTTCTCTAGGGACGTTTCTGTGACCTAAAATGATGATCATAGATGGTATGCCGACCTCCATTAGTCGAATTCATAGGCGAACACGGGACAATTAGTATCGGGAGCCTTGGAGGACTCAGAGGAACATGGTTAATTGCCGTCGTAAACTGTCTTAGAGGGATCACGCATAAATGGTACGTTATTCACATGCCGTCGACCAGGTACAGAATCTGAAGTCGTATTGCAGCAATCACTTATAGGTACTGTGCGGAGTTTGTACTGTCCGCAGTTGGCAAACGCCGTAACGTGGACTATTACAGGAAATGCACAATTCAGGAACTGTTAAATCCGATCTAGTTTCCATTGAATTGGGACTCAGTCATTGCTGAATACAAATTATTATTTCATTCCCTTTGGTATCTCTTTAAAAAGGGATCTTTTTAAAGAGATTAATATACTCACTGTTGCGTCCCAATATATATATATATATATATATATATATATATTGTAGTTTTGTACGTTACACATAATCTTAATTGTTACCTAAAGAATAGTGGCAGACATAAATTATATAGGTACTAGAAATAAGGATAAATTAATTACGCCATTGTTTCGTCTACAAAAAGTAAATAGATCGTTCTTGGTTCAAAGTATGGGCTTGAAATCCCACATTCGATGTTAAGTGTGCCACTTGACCAATTTAAACTCAAAATTAAAAGACAACTTATTGCTAAGGCATATTATACCATTGCGGAATATCTTGACGACGCCAATGTGTGGGGTTTGCCTGATTTCGACGGTAGCGTACACCTTTTCTTATTATTATCGTCTACAGGAAGTGCATGCTTAGTGGCTTTGATTGAACCAAACATATGCATTAAATGGGCGCTTGAATTATCAAACATGAGATGGAAATCCAATTTTTTTTTAAATTTGAACCTGTGTTCTCCGGCATACTCACCCAACGCTCTGCCCATTAAGCTAAACAGGATGTTTTGCTAAATCACATTTTTCTAAGCTTAATCTGTTTCGGGGTTTTTATCCTTATTTGGATATGTCAACCTCATTGTGATTTATAGATTTATGGACGTTATGGTGCACCGAAGTAAAACCCCTAGTAATAATACAAAATAATTAACGGTAGCCCGCGTTAATTCTGACTAATGTCCTAATGGACGTAAAACAACTCAGTTTGTCCCAATGATATTATATTTCAATTATGAGGTAGATATGACATTAGCGCATCGACGCTGAGGCATTCAAATTGCGCCAATTGGTGTAAACACGTTGCAACTTCATAGACAGTTATCTCTTTCGCTCTATATCATCCATCACATTCACGAATATACATCTTAAAATGGAAAGCGGAACAATTTTTAAACGCCGCGAAGTATGGTAAAGGGTTCGAAGCGTTAGAAATATAAAATCAAAATCGTAAAATAATTGCAATATAAGTCGTAAAATAGTTTCAATTCACCTTATACATTGTTGAGAGTATATTAATTTTCATTTTATACTTAAGAAAACAGAGGAAATAAATGTGTTATGAAATAATATTTGAATTTGCCTACATAATACTTAAACACCCGCCCCCTTGTACATCGATTCGCATTTTCGCTTAAATATTGTTATAATACCTAAAAAACATTTCAAAAGAAACAAATTTTGTAACGATGGTAACATTCATTATTTATTCAATGTCACGATGAATCATTATGTTTTCGTCATTTCCTGCAAATTCAATGACAACGCTCTGTAGAAACCCGTTTGTCGTATCAAAAATTTAAATAACTTAGATTTATCTTTGTAATCTAAAAGACGAAACCAAAGCGCCACAAGCTTTTAAGGTGCGTTTTACCTCCTCATCCGGTTTTAAAAAAACTATTAGGTAAAATACACGGACATAAATATCTATCGTCTTTGACATCCAATCAATCAAAGTTAAACTCGTAAAAGGTCCATTTTAGTGGGTAATTCCGTACTCTTTTGTTTTTACCAAAAACTTCCTCCTTTTTCACCACCACGCTTGGGGACGATGGTCGATTTTATCGTGATATAAATCCAGATAATTAAGTGGCGTGACAAAAAACTGAGGCGCGATGTGTTTTCGGCCCGTCGACTCGTATACAACTAGATGGTAATGAATGAACGGAGATAAGCGAAGATGAAGAGGATGGGTCGAGAGGACAGGGACATGTTGGCCCTTTGTGAATGAACAATTTCGATAGTTCTACTCTCGTTCGTGAACGAGTTTGCCCGCGCGTTTGTGTGCGTACAATGGCCGAACATGTCGCTATACATCGCCGAGATTGCCCCACATTATCAAGTTCCGGATCTTGACTTTGTCAATTAGCTCGCTGTCAGCACTTAGCAAAGTATATGTACTAGATTTCAATTTCTTTCACTTGAAACTATCGCTACTTAACAACGTTTACTTTTACCGAAAATTACCAACTCATGGCACTGTTGACCAAAATCTTCTACTTATTGTAACAATGTGTCAGCTACTGTTTTGTATGCATCATCGATATTATTTTCAACATCCATTCGAAAATTTCGAAACTAAACATAAATTCGAGCATTTTAAACGAAATGTTTATATTATATGTTTATACATTATGTTATATAATTAAAATTATAATAAGCATTAAGGCCCCACTGCTATATGCAAACGTTTGACCGCTATCTGATCCACTAATCTCCAATTATAATTCGTCAGTGAATAGTAAAGCGAACACTTCCACAGCCCAATCCACACGGCGCGGCTGAGCGTGCCCCGGCTCCTTAATATTATAATCTTATTCTAAACACAGAATATATTAAAGGAACAGTGGCGGCCCAAGTTGTTACCCCGAGCCTGTCGTCGCTACGAAGGGGGAAATGTACAAGATATTAGCCCGACATGTCTCAGATATTTTTGAACGAAGAACAGATTTCAATTATAATTTAGCTTGGTTTTCGTTTTCATAAAAGCTTTTTCTTATGTTTACTGTTCATTTTATTAATTTTATAAGTCAATGGCCGGTTTTATCTTTTTTCACGACATTGACGCTGTATTAGGTTAGTTTTGTTAAGTTTTAACTGGTAAATAAAAAATACCTAACAAAAATTACTAATAAAGCTATTTCCTGTCATCAAAATCTAACTTGTTTCAAAATTGAACATGATCACCAGATCTCTCTCTCGCTCGCATCAATTGAGCCGAAATAAAAAGGTGCTGGCAAAAAATCTTACATAGCGTACGTACAAAAGAAAAATTGTCGGCTCGCGAGCGAAGATCGCTCGCTCTGTAGTGCTGTGTCGTGCAGCGGAAGTTTGGAAATTTGCACAGACATGTCTGTAGGTTAAGTGTATGGGTGGGGGCTCCTCACTGAGTGCTAAGAGCTTTCCGAGATGAACTCCCGGAATGCATTTGCATGTCACAAGACCCTGTGGGAGTTTGAGCACGCGGCGTTGATTGTCTCGTGTACCTGTAGCGTACGTGTTGGGTGTTACTGTCGAATCGATACGTTGTCGCGGCTTCCATTCCGGCCGCCGTTTGATCTCGGGCCTTGCTTATTAAGAGGCATTAGTTAAGCTCGATTCACTCTGGGGGGATTGATCGCAATCTAGTTCTGTATCTTTGGCACGCTGTTTGCGCTGTGTTGGGGGGACGCACTTTGAGCGACTGTTTCGGGGAGACTACCTCACAGTTTGTTTCAATATACCGTTGAATAGTGTTATTTCAGTGTACATTCAACTAAGAATACGGTGTGTATCGAACTAACGCCATCAATATGTATACGCAATGTGTAAATGAACTAGTTTCGGGTAAGATATCTTGAGCACCACTGTAGATATATACCTAACAGTTTTATCATATATCACATTATAAAACAATATTTATAAAAAAATAGGCGCACTTTTATATCACAGAAGTAATACCATAGAACTGTTCAACCGCGAATACCGAGGTAAGGCCATACAACTGTGTTCACAACAGAGCACACCGTGATAATACCGAAGAACGGTATTTACAACCGTTATTACTCAGCTTAAACCTGCGCACTGCATACGCGACAGTGCATATCGTGGTGTCGTGGCGGCGTTCTGTACCGAAATAACTGTGCCGGAGTGTCGGCCGAACTGAGTCGGCTCCACGCCTCCAATCGCTCGTCCGCCGCTGAAAGGCGTAATTGAGTGCATATTTTGAAAACACACAGATAAAGCGCCGTTGTAAACACTGACACGTGGCTGACAGATAGTGGGGCGACACGAGTGGCTCGGATAAGACGCTTCCGTCCGGCGGTTGCTTTTTGTGCGTCGTCAAGTGGCAGCCATTGATTAGATTGAGAGCGGGACGCATTGGCCAAAGCTGAGTGGCAGATGCGACCCCTTAAGACCATGCTTGCTCGAATCGGACGTCCATAACCAGTCCATAATGTTCTGTTGTATTTACGCCGACTCTACGCTCTGTTAAATAAAACTACTCCAAACTGATCAAAACGTTCAATTTTAGTTTGAACACATCACTAAGTCCACGGTAAGAGGCCAGACTAAGAACACTGCAGTGCTCGGAACGCCGACATTTTGAACTATTATTAAATGACTTAAAACCTGTAAAACATTTTGTTCAATTTAATGACGTGGCTACTTAAGTGTTAAGTTTTACTATAATTTTGACAAATTTGAGTACAGCGAATAGTGAATAGTAATAAACCTGTCCTAGTGATTGAATAAGACTTTAGGGGTAATAGCCAATCAACTTACAATACTGTAAAAAAATCGATGCATCTATATGCGAATCTCTATGAGAATATTGTATCTGTATTCGTTGGGCACTAACGGTACGAGTAGTCGTTGCCTTATCTGCATTCATCGTCGTTGTTTAATTACTAACCGTCTTAGAGCTTATCTACGTCATATCAAGCATGGGGTTAATTAAATAAAAAAAATTGTGCTCTTACTGAATGGATAATGAATGTGAATTACTTCTCGCCAAGTGGCCTATGCCTCGGATGATTAATGGACGGGAGATTTAAACACAGAAATAAATAGCGTGTTGTTATAAGATAGCGAGCGTTAACTTGATAAATAATTAATGAAGCTGATCTTAACCGATAGGCCGTTTTGGTCGAATGTAAACAAAAAAACGGAACCAAAAAAAAAAACAACCCGAATACTTTGTCATTAAATAAAGTCCGAAACCTGTCCCACGGCACATAACGCCGGCTTCTAATTGACTTATCTCAAATTACATGTGCCTAATATTTTCGATAGCGTAATAGTGTCTAATGGTAATTGTTAATTTAGTAAGTAAGTATGCAACCGGCAAAGTTCGGTGTGTTGTGTAAACCAAAATTTAGTGAAATCATTAAAATACACGTCTATCATTAAGGTTAGGTTTTGTCGCGACGTGGGGTAATTATAAAATCACTTTACTTTTTTAATGAAAAAAAAAAAAAAACGAATACACATTTGAATTTCGAACGCCCCTCGAAAACTCTTCAAGACCGGCATTCCGTTGACAAGGTCCGCGGTATAACGTCATCAGTCATGAAATCACAACGCGCCAAAACAATGGCCATTACGCACAAAAACGTCGGAGCCCGCCTCGGACCATGCGCTGGGAAGACACGATGAACGGCCGCAACGCAATTCAGCCGGATCCTATCCTACAGGCGAATTCAATTAACTGTACAAGGCGCGGGAGTAATAAATTCTCTAAACAATCAGAATTCGAGCCCTGTAATATGTCCGCTCGCTTGCATGCGCAATGCGGCGATGCCGCTGTTTAATCAACGTATAAACACGGTGTACCTACGGACGTCCCTTGTGGACTCGTGCCTGTGTGAGTGGGTACGGCTTCGTTTTTTTTTTCGGCCAACCGTAAAAGGCTCGCGGGTACGCGGTCGGGTCGTTTTTTCGTGCGAATTTCGTACGGGGCCATCGAAAGTGGAAATCGATGCAAATTTCAACGCGCACTAATAAGCCGTGTGGTGTTCACGGTGGTGGTGGGACTGTGGGGCTGCTACCCCACAACGTTTGCTCGTTGTTTTGCCCGCAACGGGATCGGTTTGGATACCCGAGACTTGCCCCGACTAAGTACTTAAAATTAGTCTGATTTTTATCTTTTCATTTTGAGATACTTGATAGAGAGATCTTGAGACCAAAATTTGAGAGCCGAAATCAATGAAACCAAAAATCCATTGTATTGGAGCTTCGTGTGACATCACTTTATTCATTAAAAACTGCTAATATTAGACCGAAGTCGCTTTATGTAAACTGGATATTTCGGTAAGAAATGTCACTCAATTAAAATACACCTTGCGTATTACTATATATAAATATACTTAACTAATAATTTTGTATACAAAGCTTAGGATCACTTTTATAAGCTAGCGTTTTCTATTTGCATTAACAATTATTATTGCTTAAAAATCATAGGGTGTTTTTAAAACTACGAGTATCAAAGTTCCCTTATCTCAATGTCTGGATAAATTTTGCAGTTATAGTGATGTGTTATTAAAAAAGTAAATTAATCATTATAGGGGAATTTTCATTTGTTTTCTCGTCTGGTTGGGTTTATAAATAAAAATAAAAATATAGGTATATATTGTATATATAAAATAAATATTATGGATAAACATATATATATAAATATTTTATATAATACATATATAAATAGGACCCAACCAGACGGAAGCCCTCGGCAGGGGAGACCAAACGGCCGAGGGTTAGGGCGAAAGGGAGAGAAACCGGCGGACGATGCGGGCGGTATCGAGGAGCACCGCCTTCTGCATTTGAGCTTGGAGCGATCCGTCCCGGAGTCCCAGTCGCCTCAGATGTTTAGAGAGGCTGACTGGGATTAACCCATTGGCAGAAACGACTATCGGGATAATTTCAGTCGGCACACCACCCCACATGTCGGTCACCTCGTGAGCCAGGTCCAGATACTTTGTCTTCTTATCCGTTTCGGCTTTCACGAGGTTTTCGTCATATGGAATGGTAATGTCGACCAAAAATACCCGCGACTGTGCCCGGTCCATCACCACTATATCAGGTTTGTTCGCGACAATCGTCCTGTCCGTGATGATGGGCCGGTCCCAATAGAGCCTGGCGCGTTCATTTTCGAGCACGGCTTCCGGATAGTACTTGTAGTACGGCAGTTTTCGAACCACGAGGCCGTATTTCAGAGCGAGCTCCTGGTGTAGGATTCTGGCTACTAGGTTGTGTCTATGCAGATACTCAGAGTTAGAAAGCATGGAACAACCGGAAATAACATGCCGAAGCGACTCCCCGGGATGGCGACAAGCTCGACAGATGTCGACGGTGCCATCCTTTAGGATGTATCTCCTATAGTTGTTCGTCTTAATAACCTGATCCTGTATCGCACAGACAAAACCTTCGGTTTCCCCAAAGAGGTCCCGAAACGTAGCCAGTTCAGGGATGGCAACAGTATCTACGAAAGGCTCGTGTAGAGCCTTGTAGAACCTCCCGTGGAGCTCTTTCTCCTTCCATACAGCCTCTCGGTCGGAAACGCTCAGTACTCCCGGGTCCTGCCATTGCTCGTTGGCTAAGGATAGAGGGGTAAGTCCTTTATCACAACTAATGACGTCCGTGTAGATTGACTCATCCAATCTCGCCAGAAAGTAGTTACGGAGGCTGCACACCTCGCGATTGTGCATGGTGAGGGCGCTTAAAAAGCCCCTCCCGCCATGCTTCCGCGGAAGGTACAGCCTCATCACTGACGATCTCGGATGATGCATTCTGTGGGACGTCATAGTTGTGCGGACTTTTCGGTCCAGGGCGTTGAGCTCAGTTTGAGTCCACCTGAGTATGCCAAAGGTATACATGAGGACTGGCATGACCCAGCCGTTAAAAGCACGTGCCTTGTTCCCGCCTGACAAATGGCTATTAAACACCTTTGTCAGGCGTGCAAAAAACACGTCACGAACTGACTGTTTCATGCCAGCCTCATCGATACACATATTTTGTGACATACCCAGTATCGGTATGTTTCAGCCTCAGAGAGGGTCCTTATGTTAACGGGCATAGATAAATCTATGCCCTCCGTGTTAGCGACCTTACCCCTTTCGACATGGAGCACCGCACACTTATCCGTCCCAAGCTCCATTTTGATAGAATTGCTGAAATCACAAGTGACTTTAAGCAATTCCATCAAATGGGAGCGATTGGAGGCGAATAATTTGAGGTCATCCATGTAGAAAAGGTGGGTCACTTTTGTCCCTCCTCTCCGAAGTTGAAATCCTCCCCCCGAGCCCTCCAGTAACACGCTGAGAGGATTCAGGGACAGGCAAAACCATATTGGACTCAAACAATCGCCCTGGAAAATACCCCGTCGTATCCTTATCCGGTATTCCGCAGCCGTCATCCGCTCGCCTAGATGACAAAGGATCGTAATCCATTGCCCCATACAGTGCCCGAGGAAGTCTCTTACTGTACAGTCTACTAAATTAATCAATCAGTATACTTAATCAATTATTATTATTAATGATATCCACAATGTATAAAGTATGCACTAAATGTTATTATGTTGTTTTAGTGTGTTATTGTGTACGCTTTACATGACTAATATTTACCAAATGGATGGGTGACTAACATATACTTACTATTATTATTACGCCGTAAGTTTCCTCATGTAGAATAGAGGAGAGTGGAGTCGACTCAGTGAGAGCTGCATTTTAATTATGCTGCAATCGATATTTTAAAAAGTTTTTGACGAAATTGTCGATTATATTCATAGCAAAGACCAGCGCCGCAGCGTCGAGCGTTCGACACAAATATGGTAAAAAATAAAAGTATGCGGTAAGCCAACAACATTAATAGGTGGTTAATTGAATGTACGGAAGTGCAAAAAGAATTGCACTGTGTTTTGGTTTCGGATGTTTTATTAGTTTCAAACTAATTGCAGCCATTCCATTAATTACGGCCGAATAAGCTATTAATTATTAATGGTATCATTTCTGTATCTCGGAGCATTATGCGACAAAACACAAATTTTACAGGAGAGGCAAAATGAGTGCAGTGAATAATTGAATGATAATAGAATCGAATCTCGGAAATGGCTCCAGCGATTTTCATGCAATTTAGTATATGCGTAGATTCAGGGGCGGAAAATATATCTAGCTAGGTTTAATTTTCAGAAAACGTCCTTTTATCTCTGTTTTCAGGCAATGAAAAATATCATTCGACTATGACGGTAAATTTCGCCGCATAAAAAAATGTTATAATAGCTCGGTCGGTAATCGGGCGGCCCCAAAACAGACGGCCGAGGTTCGTATCACGATCATTTACACACTCATTTTTTTACTTTTTTTTCAATTCCAGATCATTGCTTTCTTAATTTTTTATTTTTTGTCGATTTGTTATTTTTTCACTTTTT